TCATCAAGAGTATTTCCTTTCCTCTTTCTTTGAGAAGTGTAACTCAGAGATGTTCTTCCCAAGAAGCCCCGGAGTGCATGGAGTTTGAACTGACAAACAGTTGGAGACCAATTGCTTAATGTATAAACAACTGATTGAAAGTAATGCTACTGCAGCTATAGGACTACTCTAGTCAGACGAGACTTCTAGAGCTCCATCTCCACTTACAGCTTGTTGATAATTAGACAATGCATGAATAAATAAGGCTTTCTTGAGAAAAAATATGTGAAGTCATGCAAACATGGGCAGACTTTTTGTTAGGTTGGCTACATTCAGCTTGTAGTTTCAATATTGGAATCATTTGGCTGATAGGTTTTCCAGCAATAGAATATACATACTTCTTGTTATTCATTCTAACCTCTCTCCTTCCACCCAAATGTTGAGGAAGGTTTTGTAAAAAGGCTTCAGATCTATCCATCTATCTAACATCAGGAAAACAGAATGGATAGAGCCAGATCTGGGGAGGAGAAAGAAAGAAGCAAAAGAAGGAACAAGTTCAGCAAGGATCCACGAAGGAGAGAAAAAAAAAATGCCTTTATCCATGGAAAAAAATATCCTCCAATGTATCTATATGGGAGATAGAGTGGAAGCAGTGGCATTGAATGTTCCATTCTTAAGCCCCTTTCCTGCAGAAAAAAAATACAAGGTGTGAATAAAACTCTCTCAATTTCTACTGAGACCATCAGAATTCCCAATCAAAGCTTATCTCTGTCTGTCTGCCTGCCTGCCTGCCCTACCTGCCTCTCTCTCATGCACACTGATTCTTCACCGAAAAGAAACAGACACAGCATATTATTTCTTCACAGAGAAGACACTATGGAGTCCTCTTTTATCAATGTGACTACTGGTCACATTGATAAAACTGAAGAAGCGGTTCCATGTTTACTTAGCCACAAATAAGTGTAGTGAAATGTATTTGTGAATCAGTATGCCTAAAATTGCACCACCAGTCTGCCGTAAGAAACCTAGCAGAAGTCGTAATGGGTGTGGAAACAACAGTCATTTTTTTTTTCAAAATAACCATGGTACTATTAGTAATTATTGTAATTGTTCAAATCATAAACATGAAAAGCCTTCCATCATAGTTAAATCAACTTACAATTAATTCATCTGAACAAAAAATCCATTTCCATAATGCCTTTTTATTTCCCATTAAAAAATAATTGTCAGTATTTTGGGGGAAGGAGTTATATTCTCCCCTAAAATGACAACATCCTTAACTTTTTTTTTTGCATGTTCTTTTTTTGAGATTAGCATCATTATATCCTCTCAAGATATAGAGGCTTATCCCCACAATCTGTAATTACTTTAATTACACGATAATTATATAAATAATGCATTTGAACATAGACTTCACTTTCTTTAGTTTCTAAATATTATTATGTTTTCAGATGTATAAACAAAAAAACATTTAAGTTTATCTGAAGAGCAGGTGAACTGACTGCTACTGAAGAAGGAACAATGAAAACATGATTATTGCAAACTGCCTAACTTGGAGATCATTATGAAACAATTAGATCTGCACATTTTACAGATGTGTAAAACAAACAGAATAACAAGAAGTCCTACTCTTAGGTTTGGAAACAGGTTCTAACATCATTTTTTGAGGCTGGGATAAAATTAACAGAAATAAATTTGTAATAGACAAACTATCCTGCATTTCAGTAGGCAAAAATCAGGTGTGCAATTTCTGTAGAATATGCAGAAATTAAGGAACGTAGAGCAAACTCTAAACTTGGGTCTCTAGATACGAAGTCTAACCAAAACTAAGTTGCATAAATTAATTTAGCACATGCATCATGATAAATAATTGTATAATTTTTGTATTATGGTCAGAAATTATTTAGACTAGTATTTAATTCTGGACAATTCAGTGCTAGAAAAATAAATATTAATCCTGAAAGGCTCCACACCAACCACACCAACCAATCAACCCAATCTAGCAACAACAAAATATCCCATCTTTTTTTTTTAAAATCAACCTGATTTTTCAGGTTTTTACAGTTTTACAGTTTTATCACGAAAGCTGTGCTTTTATAAGAAAATGCAACACACTGTTCCTTTTTATGGCAAACAATGTTATGAAAAGCACATCAAAGAGCATGAAATTATACAAAAAATATTAAGGATATGATATAAAAAAGAAAAGGATAACTAACTACATGTAATTTGTGCTAACATCGATTACATATCACTTTTTATCTTCTTTTCTTTACAAATAACTACATTTATACACTGATTCTACTGTAACTTTAAAAATTATTTTAATTTAATTTAATTAATAATTTAATTTTGAGATTCCATGAGCCTCATCTAACAGCTTTATGAGATTCTCAACAGCACACCAAATACCTGATCATACTGAAGACCTCTCTATGAAAAGTTTGAAGCAGTTTGGTTTTTTTAAAAAAGTGATACAATAGCTTCCTCAGATATTTACAAAGCTGTCAGGAAGCTGATGGAGTAATGGTTTTCTGTTATCTATATTACTAGAATAATAAATTCAAATAAGCGCCAAGTAGGAATTCCAGATATGGAACAGGTTGATTTAGAAGATAGATTCATCTTCATTTTTAAAAACTAATGCTATGTCCATTTACAATGTCAAAAATCACAGTATATTTTTCTAGTACATAAAAGAATCTAAAGAAAATTATCTTTATGACTCTATGATGAAAATTACTGGTATCAAGCTGGATGAAAGATAAAAAGATACGATAATTTACAGACTTTATCCTGCCTTTGTGTTGAAGTGGGTAAACAATTTTTTTAGCTAGGAAGTTTGGGTATAAAATTCTCTTTTACAACACATGGAAGAAAGGAAGGATTGCAGGATTAGGTAGGATCTCTTTGTCCAGTGACTCACTTCCATATGATTGAAGGAAATGTTCTTTAAACAACCACTCCCTTCTGTTCAAATTGTAATTGAGCCAAAATTGTGAATCTTGCTGTTGAATCAGTTGTGGTTTTTGTTTCTGAAAGACAAATCACTGGTGCCACTGGAAAACTCATTGCTTGGGCTTGAAAAAATATGGTGTCCTTTCAATAACAAAACCTCAAAACATTAGTGATACAGAGGCTTTTCATACCCTTTCCACAACAAGACAGCTTTTGTTTTTGATTGCTCAGGAGTCATCTTATTTTTTTGTCAATGTATTTCTGGTTCTATTTTCCAAAATCATGTTAATTTCAGCAACCAAAATGTTCCAAAGTGAAGAGTAGGAGAAATAAATCTAAATATATTCCAAGAGTCCTTCCTTCATTTCAGCCTCTGATCTGAAAAATGGAAAATAAAGTTTCTGTAGGTGGAAATTAAAAACATGTGTTTGTCAAACACACTGCTGATAATTATGAAATTCTGAACAAAAGACCTCTTCATATTTTAAAAATAAACATTACAGTTGTAAAAATTAATTTCACACTTTAAATATTTCCAACTGTATTTGGTTCTAAGATCTTTCTTCTTAATATATAGTTCCAAGTCTTACATACAGTAAAGACAACATCCCAATAATTGTCTACATAACCTTAATACTAAATTTAAATAATATTTTTAAATGGCATAAATGTCATGTTACTGCAATTGTGTAAGGAATAGAGTATAAAAATAACTTCAATAATCAATTTCATTATAACCTCAAACCCTAGGATATTTTCTAGCTTCTGTTTTTTTACAGCAGTTATAAATACTGTACACTAAGTTTGCCTCTTACTCTACATTTACAATAAACTTGTTTTTTTAAAAATCTGTTTTGTTCAATTATAAAAATTATAAATAATATTTTTTTCTGTTTCATGCAAAAGATGTACAACAAATTTCCAGTCAACAATAAACATAGCTATTATCTTTTCTCTAAAAATGAAGTAAATTTAGCAAGTTCCATCATCATCACCAACCATTTCACCAAATCTTTCCATTTCACTACCGCTATCATGTGGGGAAAAAACCAAACACCCAAATTTCCATGCCTTTTTTTGTAGCTGTTTGTCCACCAGTTAAAAACAAGAAAATCCTCTGGTTAAATTGTATGCTTTAACCACTGGAGCACAATGATTAGAATACACTTTTGTAAGCTAACACTGCCCACAGGCTAGATAGAAGAATTCGGTCCTAATGGGCTCAAGGTTGATTCAGCCTTCCATCTTTCCATGGTCGGGAAAATGAGTACCCAGATTGTTGGGGGCAATAGGCTGACTCTGTAAACTGCTTAGACAGTGCTATAAAGCACTATGGAGTGGTATATAAGTCTGATTGCTATTGCTTTTACTAATTTTTTAGATCCTCTCAACCAGTGATGTACTTGAATGCAGAGTTTTCTTTTTACACATTCACCAAATATTTTTTATAATTTTTATTGCTTTTTAACATAATAAAAAAGATACAAATCTCTTTGTCCCTAAATATAACTAAAAGACTGATAGTGCAACATTAAAAAGATAAATATATGACCCCATTTACCCAGTGAATTGAAACTTGATTTCACTTGCTACTTATGAGTAGATTGCCTACAGACGTAGACTTTGTCTGGAGAAATTAATGAAATAATGGACTGATATAAAAATACAATATGCAAAATATAGTAGGTTAAAAAAGCATGATAGCTATGTAAGTGTGTTACAATGAATATATATTTGTGTGTATTTACAAAATGTTTGCATTAGATAATTATATATAGAATTTTAACTGTTTATTCTAATGACATATAATACTTCATATTTTGGTTTTTTTCTATTTATTTTTTCATTTATTTTTAAGCACTTGTTATATATATATATTATTCACATCCCTTAAATATGATAAACTCATTCTTAGAATGTTAAAATCCATAAATACTTTTACTATTTCAAATCACTCTAAGAATTGTAAATATGAGAGCTATTGACAATGATATCCCTCTGATATAAGTTTGTCTCTTGATTTTATTTTACTTTGTCTTGTTTTTCCTGCCATACAAATTTAGATGTATTCTTCTGCCATTGTTTAAATGATACATCAGTTGTCAAAACAAGTATTGCCTCAAACAAAAATATCATTCTAGGTAAGACATTTATTTTTATCACACAAATTTTTCCCCACAATGAAATTCTAATTTTGTCCATCTTAATGTATCTTTTAAAACTTTATTCCATAAACACAATTACTGTAAAATAACAGAGTTTATATTTGTCATAATTATACCCAAGTATTTTACCATCTTCCTCTCATCTCATCTTACATCTCTGTTCAATTCCACCAATGTGTTAGCATCTGGAATTTAATTTGAAATTTTGAAGAAATTTAATTTCCTTAGAGGTGACTTGGGGATCAGCTTCAATATAAAAATGAATAAACATTATTTTGGAGGTGGGGTAATTTGTTCAGAGATTAAATAAAAGCTTTGCTTTGTTGAAAAAACAAATTTCAATGCACACATTTTAAAAAAATCTATAGAAATTTTGCTTTGCTTTACATGATGCAAGCCAAGCTGCCCCCCTACAAAGAGATCTTGTATCTGGAGAATTATTAATATTTCTATGATTGCTGTACAATTTGATACTATTTACACTGATTGTTTTGTAATAAATTTTAAATACGATTAAATGAAAACCAAATCAGCTAAATAAAGGCATTGCTACTTACTCAGTTTTAGAGATAAACTTTCATATTTCATTGAGGAATACTTTCATAAATCTATAGTAAACTTATTTCCAGATATATTCTATGTGAAGCTTCTTTTGAAAAGTTTCCAAAAGCCTTAACTAGTGTAAACTGCCAAAGAAATGCTACAATATCTTTCTTTGGTGTCATTTATTGACCATGGCCTTATTTAAATTGTATTGAATATTGGCTTGTTTACAGATTCAGTTAAATTTACAGGTAGCTATATAAAACTCTGAACATCCTGAAACTTGGATATTTCCATTGCAGGGCTGGACATAATACTGAAGATCACCAGCTGAGAGCTGGATTGTGAAACTGAATGAAAACTTCCCAGGACAAGACAAAACAGTGGCAAACAACTTTCATTGTGTTTTCAGGAAAGCAAAAAGGACATGTCCATTTGATCATTAGATACCTCAGAAGCTGGACTTTGCATTCTGCAGTTAAAAATAGTACAGACCGGGGTACAGGCCATTATCTGTGATATCACAATTGCGGAACTGTCTTCTTCTAAGACATTAATTTGTTCATTTTTTTTCTATGACACAAGATTTTATAGTATTCTGTTTTTTTGTTACATTTTAATTTGTCCTGGTTATTGAATTGATATCTCTCTCTGTTCCCAACTGGTTGTTAAATTATATTTATTTATATTAAAATAGCTTAAATATAAAAACATAAAAAATGTAAATACAGTGTGAATAAAGCAATTAAAGAAGTGAATGATTTCTACTTCTTAAAAACAAGAGTAATAACTAAATTTGTATTTATGATTCCATGTAGTCTTCCTGCTTGATGGAAAAAAGGCATCCATAACTAGTGACATTAAAACATATAAACTGGCATTGGTAGAGAAGGAAAGGTAAGAAAAGATAAACAGTCTTCTAATTGTCTGCTTTTGTTAGTTCCTGCTGGGTTTTTTGTTTTTTTTTTGAGTTGGCAACTTGAGAGCAATTCAGGTACTATTAGTAAATAGGAGTAAATTCTTATGACAGAATTAAAGACAAGGGGAAGTTTTTTAAAATACTTTATAAGATTTAGAACTTGGCTGTAATGTGAATTTCCATTCTCTTGATTAGCTTCAGGGAAAATAGTCTCAATTTTCCAACTGTAACTAATAAAATGGGTCAATTTTTGTTATGATTCTAAAATTGTAATGCCATGTTTAAAATTGGATTTCATTCATATATACTACATATCATTGCAGAATGAATATGGCAATAATTCCAGAAAACTAAAAAAAATGTTTGTTTAAAAAAACCCATAATTTCATTCCTTTTACAATAGTCATTCACTAGCCTAATTGAAGCAATTATAGCCAGTAATGGAAGTTGTGCATTTTATCTTTATCTAGGATTTGATTGAAGCACATTTTTGTATGAATCCAGCAATTCTGCCTAATTGAAAAAGAATAGAATAAAATGCTTTACTTGGCCAGGTATGATCAGACACACAAGGAATTAGTCTCTGGTACAGAAACTCTCAATGTATATGCAAAACAACAGAGTAATAATAACCATAATATGATACCAAATAAAAGAGAGTAGTAGAGAAGATAAGAAGGATAATAATAATACTACAGCTATACTACATGGGTAAATAAACTTAGACATAAAACAATACTGTGGGAATTAGGTGTTCAGCAGAGTGCTGGCACGAGGGGGAAAAAAAAACTGTCCTTGTGTCTAGTTGTTTTGACATGCAGTGCCCTATAGTGGCATTCTGTGGGGAGGAGTTAAAACAGTTGATGTTCAGAATGTGAGGGATCTGTAGATATTTTCTCAGCCCTCTTTCTGACCTATAGTGTACAGGTCCTCCATGGAAGGCAGGCTGGTTGCAACTGCATTTTTTGCTGTTCTAACTAATCTCTCTTAGTCTTAACCATTCTTTCCCACTTTAATTTTATTTTAATCTTTTTGTCTATATATGCTCTATACCAGACATGTCAAACGGGTGACGTCACGAATCAGGATGGTTTTGCCATTGGCGGCAATGGGGTGGGCATGACTTCTGGATGACGCATTCAGTCTGTGGGCCAGCAGTTTGACATCTCTGCTCTATACAGTACAATTTTTGTAGTGTATTTTCTCCATCCTGATTTTTTAAACAATGATTCTGTTATATGCATTTCTTTCATCCACAGCTTGTTTTACTTCTTCATTCCATCACTCCATTAAGCATTCCTTTTGGGTAACACCACATACATTGTCTAGCATAACTCTATTCAATGTGTTCCAAGTAACTTCAATGTGCTGTTTTCATTTGTTTACTACTGATTGGAAAAAAAGGAGTATATCTTTTTATCCCACTTTTAATCATTCAATATTTACATTAGTATTTTTCATTCTTTTCTTTTTATTCCAATTCTATTTTCCCCAAATATCTCTCTTGCCATTATTAAACCATGGTCTATCTTATGTTCAAACCATTCCATCACCCTTGTATCTTTGTTAGTTTTCTCAATATTTCATCATAAACAATAAAATCAATCATGATTTCAGATTTATATTCATGCCTTTGCCATGTGAAGATACAAATAATTGAATAATTTTTCAGGCAAATATCCATCAAGCAGTCACTATTTGTATTTATTTTGGCTCTCCAAATGTTCAAACCACTTTTTCTCCAGACTCTTGTCTTATCTTAATTCTGGTCATTTATTCATGTCACTTATCAGAATACTTTAGTCAGAATGTTGTACAATTTAACGTCAAAGTTTTTCATTAATTATTACCAATTACTGGAGTAGAATTCAAACTTATCATTGCCTACTTTCATATTCACCCACAACAACCTAAATAAGATCAATTTACACTTTTTGATACATATATTAACACTTTTGTTCACAATTACTATACTTTCATTTTCTTGCATATTTTCATCAACCTTATTCCACAACATTGAAACACCTTCATTCATTTATTTCCCTTTTTTCTATAGATGTATATTCTTCACAGATATACATCTATAGCTATTTTCTTTCCTTTATTAATTGATAATCATTATTACTTACTCTCTTTACATTCCATGTCAAAAGTTTCCATATGCCATAATTGTTACCAAATGGCCCATTGTGGTTTTGGTCAATTAAGGTTTTAATATAAGAAATTTTTAATAATATAGGGACTAAGTTATCAATTGTAGTTGTACATATGCCAACTTATTTGAGGAACCATCTCATCCCAATGGGACTGGCCCACCCCACCCATTCCAGAAGAAGAGGCATGCTGTAGGCCTCATCAGTCAAGGAATTCTGACTGGTGGGGTGCAGGAGAAGAGCCCTTTCTGCCATGGCTCCTGCCCCTTGGAACATCTTACCCCTGAGGTGAGATCTGCTCCCACCCTTGTGATCTTTCATAAGGGGCTGAAGATCTGGCTCTGTCACCTGGTTTGGGTGCCCAATGTGGAAGTATCACACTGGAGGAGGTTGATGGTTTAAGAAAAAAAATCCCATCTCTGCATCTATGCTCCCTCCCAATTTTTAATTGTAATTTTACTGTGAATTGTAATTCTATTTTATTGTTTTTAGAAATATTTATGTTTTATAGTTTTATAGCTTTTAATGTTGTAACCTGTCCAGCGTTGCCTCCAGGCAAAATGGGCAGCAAATAAATCTAATAAATAAAATAAAAATAAATAAATAAATAAATACTGCTGTACTAGCCAGTTTTGGCACATTTTGGCTAATGTACCATAAATAAAGCTAAAGCTGAATTTTCTTTGAAGAATGCTCATACTATTCTATCCAGTTTAGAGATTACCTTGAAAGTCAATATACATTGCTTGCATTAACCAACTGACATTTGATTGACATTAAGTGCTGTGAGATAAACAGTTATATAAATTGTTCAAATAAATAAATAGACCATTCTAAACATAAGAGAAGCCAGCTGTAGGAAGTATGCTATATATGGAGGTCTTCTAGTCCAGCCTCTTGCTCAAGCAGGAGATCTTATATTATTTCAGAAAAGTGGCTGTCCACCTCTTCTTAAAAACCTCTAGTGATGAAGCACTCACAATTTTTGATGGCAAGCTGTTCCATTGGTTAATTTTCCTCATGGTTAGCAAGTTTTTCCTTAATTCCAGGTTGCTTCTCTCCTTGAGTAGTTTCCATATATTGTTTCTTGTCCTGCCCTCTGGTGCTTTGAAAAATAAATTGACCCTCTCCTCCTCTTTCTTAATAAACATTGTTGCTCTCTTGTTATATATTGCATCACTAATACTAATCAAGGTCATGATATTTTCTCTCAAACACTAAAATATTGATCCTTGGCTCAATATTTTTTTTCATCTGAACCAGCCCAGAACTCATTAAATATCAATAGAATGAAAAGTACAAAACAGCAAGCAAAAGCTCTTTCGAACTCTCTCATTAGCTTTAAACAGTGAGTACCATTCAAATACTAACCAAGGTGGGCTGCAAATAAATTATTAAGCTTTATTTAAAGGATGATGGAACATTTTTTCACATAGCAGCAACATATGTCAGCTCATACAGCAAAATAGTGAAAAGACTGATGGAGATTATTATTGCCTTCTCCCTATAAAGAATTTGTCCTCTGAATCCTGGAGTCATTGCAGCCATGAATTCTAGTATTTTCCGGGCACTACTTGATCATCAATCTGCAGTTACTGAAAGGGAGCCTTTTCTAATTTAAAAGTTTTAACATTCTAAATTTATTTATTGATTGATTTTATAGCAATAGCACTTAGACTTATACACTGCTTCAAAGCGTGATAAAGAGTTAACATATCTGGTCCAAATATCTGGGTTCTCATTTTACTGAGGATGGGAAGCTGAGTCAACCTTGAACTGGCCAGGATCAAACTCCAGGCTGTGAGCAGAATTAGCCTGCAATACTGCATTCTAATCACTGTGCCATAATAATAATTATATAACACCAATTTTGGCAAAGTTCAAGGAAGGCAGTGGACATAGTAACTTATTGTCTACTTTTTTTCATTACAAGAATCCAGTCAGGTAAATTAGGCTGGGAATTATTATTTTGACTTCCTAGATGACATCACATTCTGTCCAGAAAGTTGGAAAACTGAGTTATAGTCTCTTGACCCTTCATACATTTGACTACTTCTGCTATGCATTAATATTATATGCATAAAGAGCAATAGGCATATATTTATACTTAGAAAATTCTGAAAAGAAAACCCATGAAAATTAGGAACCCCCAAATAAATATGTTGGTCACATTATATTAGATATCCTATAGTTATTTTAACCCTATTGCCTATTTTTAATTCAACATAGTTCCTATAATTTGATACACATTTACATTAGGCTGTTATAACTACAGATAAATGTGAATAAAGTAAGACCTTACAGATGCATATCAATTATAATTATCAGGTAGTATCAGGTGATGGAAAAGATTATAATGCTCTTATTAGACTGGCTAATTAGGTGTTAAATAAACAATCTGAACTTTTGTAAAGAAGTTTTTGATTTGCATTCTTCTTATACTCTGCAATTGGAAAAAACAGAATTCAGTTCTTGATATTCCGTAATTGCTAGAATTACTTTGCATTAAAAATTATTTTAGAGCATTTGTTTGAATAGAGCAAAACATAGAGGTCTGCTGTCAAACCTTTTGTACTTTTATTGTGTTATTAATGAATGGGAATATCTCAGATAAGGACTTTTTTATCATACAAGATATATTAGCAGCAGTGGTAAGCTTATTGACAACCAGCAATTTACAGTAATAATGAAGACAAAGAAACAGGATCAAGTTAAAAAGACATTTATTAAGGAATGCTTCTATTTTCATTCTAGCACCACCATAAAATATTCTACTAGTGGATAGTGATGAAACATTTTAAGACCATTGTTTATCACATTGTATATTACAATATCTCCGGAAGATTTGAAAACATATATTGCAATCTTTGATCCCCATGCACATATGAATAGAAGTTTTTGTTTCAATGGAAGCTCCACCAGAAGATGTCCAGCATCAATATGATGGAATACTTAACAGATCATAGGAACACAGACCAGACAGTTAAAGAGGAAACAAGGTAATTAAAGAAGAGATTCTTTCTTTATTGCCTACTAGCAATAAAGATTCCCAGAAATTCAAGTAGCTCTTGTTTCCTGAATGCCAGCCTTGTAGAAGTACAGCTTTACAGTCCCCAAGAATGATAAAAAAAATGTCTGTTTCCTTTGTAGGGACCAACCTCATTTTCCTCAGTGGAGGAATCTAGGGGTCTCTTTAGAAGAACGTAAGTCTGGCAGATGTGTTATGATTGTCATTGTTCTGTTGCCGTTTCCAGTTTTAAATCACTTTCTTGGTCCAAGATACTTCATAGCAGTCTATTAATAAACTATAATTAAAATACAAAACATAATCATATACATTAACAACAAATTAAAAACTTTTAAAAGTAGAGTGAGAAAATAGAGGGAAAAATAACAATTCACATGCTTTATTCACTGTGGGAAAAATATTATTATTAAAGCATTCTAATCATATTATCTTCTAATCATGAGAATGATGGCAATTTTGTTCTAACACACTGAAAGAAATCAAGTTACAAAAAGCTGATATCTACAGATTATGAAGATTTTAAAAATTTAAATCCAGTAGCTTAATTAACTGTGATCTGTATAATAACCATTTAGAATAAAGCTCTGAAAATTTGTCATAGACAGAAGGAGGACACAAAATGTACTATGATATCCAAATTGCCTTTTCAAAAAAATATGCAGGAAATTAATAAAAAGATGTTTTCTTGCCAAAAATGAATTGTATGAGATCAAGGAGAACTATTCTTTGCTTTACTATGATATAAAAACTTTGCTACCTTGAGGCCAGCATATCTGAATGTTGCTCATCATAACCACTGATACATTTTCCTAACTATGTCGTGCTTGTGAATCTTGAGGTTAATTTATTAGATTATTCTACTATTCATCAAAGACTTTTGGATGTACCAGCTCTTCACAGTTTAATACGTTCATTTGTAGAGGGCAGGTAGGAGAAATGAAAACTAATTAAATGTTTTATTAAAAGTCCTTATTTTTTTTTCTATTTTTTTTCTGGTCAGTCTCACTTTCTCTCAACTTTTTATCTAGATGAGATCAGTAAAGAAGCCTGAAATCCGTGTTAGCTGCCAATATTACATCTTTGATTCTGGACAGAATGGCACTTCCCTGGACTGATCTGGTGTACAATTTGGGGGTTCTTCTGGACTCAAAGTTTTGCTTAAGGAGCAGGTAGCAGCTGTGACTGGGGGAGTGGCTTTGCACAGATTTATCTAGTGCACCATTTGCACATTTCCTGAACCAAGACGCCTTCTCAAGATCATTTATGCCTTGATCACCTTCCAGTGGTACCATGGTACTAAACTGCTTTGAAATTCATCAAATTTTGTACTCAATGTATTTTAATATGAAAAAAGTTGTCCTAGTATTCATATGTTTGCAATGCACAAGATAGAACTTGCTGATGTCAGTTGCCTTGTGATTCACTTTATTATTTCTTATGGGAAAAAATTTGTTTGGTACTCATTGTTTTTGATAGTCATTGTGCCTCTAGAACCAATTAACGATGAGTACCAAGGTGTCACTGTAATTAGATTGGTTGCTTGGTTACACCAAACCAATTACAGGAGGGGTTTTTGCATACTTATCTACCATTAGAGTATTTCATTGTTAAGCATGATGTTTTAATAAAGTCGGAATGAGTGGCCGGGTTTGACATTTGATGTACAGGGTAAGTTAGTATCAGAAGTAATTTTCTATAAATTGGATTGAAAAATTGTTTTCACTTATTTCAGTGATTTTTCATGGAGCATTAACTGCTGAATAGATCAGTCTAGTACATTTTATGTCCGTTTTCTCATGGATGATGGCATAAGAGCATCTACTGGTACAAAGTGCTGACATTCAGTTGTTAGTTAAAAAATGAAAGCAACACATATACTTACATTAATAGATAACATAACTGCATGATCCATTTTAAAAGTATTTGCTATTATATTTTCAAATCTTAAATGACTACACGACCTTCTTTGAATTGATTCCACATTCAGAAAAGTAACTGAGGAAGTCAGGATACCCCAAAAATTTATTGTTGACTCAGATAAAAAAAAAACAAAGGGAATATTATAAAAGTGGAGGTGATGCAAATTGGGCAAGAAGAGTAATACATACACCACTACCACCCACGCAAATTAAAAAAATATGCCGAAAGGCTAGAAGATATAAGGTGTAGATTCTTGATTTGATGGCAAGGGACCGAGAATAGATAATAAAATTAAAGATGTCTGAACAATGCAATGGGGCTTTCGAAAACTGCAACAAAATTTTAGAGTGAAAACAGAATTATATCATAGACATAGATGGAAACAGTCTGACTCTATGCTGCATAAGTCAAATAGCACATAAGTATAGCTCTGGGCAGCATCCTTTAAGAAAGGTTCAGACAGTTGAAAAAGAAGCAGAATAGAGCAAGGAAGGTGGTTGAGAGATATGAAAATAAATTGTTCAGAAGATGGAGAAATAAGCTTTGCTAGGAAAGACTGGGAGAACGGGGAGAAAACAACTCGGAAAGTATTAAGATATATTCTTAAGATATATCAGATAATGAATGGCCCTGACCTCTTTTCTATAATTTTAGAGTGTAGGACATAAAATAATTTCATTGTTATGGAAAGGCACATTCCAGTTAAATGTCAGGGAAAATTTCTTAATAGAAAACTTTGAATGTGGAAACCACACTACCACCTACTACCTACTACCTACTACCTATTTTGAATTTTACTTGGGTGTTGCCTATCAGCTTAGAGTAGTCATGAAAATGTTCTGAACTTTTTATATCAATTTTATAGCAGGTGAATCTGAAGTGCTGTCAAGTTGATTCTGAGTCTTGTCTATTCTTCTATGTGCAAATATTCCTTTGTTTTTGGATCTTTTGCTGATTTATATATAAACCAACCAAAAGTCAGATTCATAGTTCAGTGGAAT